ACCATGACATTTGTTTCTACAGTATACTAGTCTCTTGGCAAAAGGAGAAATGAACAATCTCAATGAAGCATTATAAATTTTTTCAACAAAATTATCTAACTACCTCTATATTTTTCTATATTTCTTTCTCTCTGTGTAGGTCTTTCTATTATATATATATATATATATATATATATATATATATATATATCATATATCAATTTCTATCTTACACATACAGCAATGCACATGGCTATACACACATATATTTAATTTAAAGGTAACTAATCAACACATTACGTGGTTTTCTTTGGACTATGAAATTCATGCTATAAAAAGTTTTATTATTTATATGCTATCATATATAAGCCTGTTGTCATTGCTGTTGGTATGATGGACATGAATTATTGGTATTTGGTGTTGCAGTTTGGATCCAGAATGTGCTGAAGACATAGTTCCCAGTATAACAATGTTTGGGCACTCTGGAGGAGTGACTGGATCACAAGGACTCTGACTTCATCAATGGGTTGAACTATTGATGGGTCCAAATTTGATGGACTGTTTGACAGTGATGGAAACAGGATGTGGGGTGTCGTTGAAGGGACTGGGTTCTGCAGGAACTATATCTTATTGTTAGCCACTTCTTGTCGCTGGCTCTGTTCACAGATTGCCGTGAGGTGAGCAACTTTGCTCAAGTACATGCTACCACCATGATGATTCTGCCTCCTGAAGAACAAGAGTCTTCATGGAAACAACAGTCTATGATCATGGAGTGAATCCTCTGAAACCTTAAGCCAAAATAAATCCTCCTCTTTTTAAGTTATTTTCCTTAGGTATTTGGTCAAAGTAATGGAAATCTGGGGAACATACTTAGACAGTTGGGAAATTTAAAAATTATTTTTGCAATGTAAACCCCATGTGGTAGGATATAACAAAATATAAGGAGTACTGCAACGATTTAGAAGATCTAGACCTAGGAAAAAATAGGCATTTAAATGACTTGGCGAACACATAGTGGCATCTCAAGTGTCAGCATTGTATTAAAGGAAGAGGGTATGAGAGCAAATCCACAGGTCACTGAACACAGATGATACTTGACTTACCAAGGAGTGGAAGACCTAATTCTATAATAACAAAAGAAATCTAGAGCTTTGCCTAGGCAATGCCTTCCAGGACTGATACATATTTTAACACGGGATGACAGAGAAAAGGAGACAGGGAAATAAATTGTAATAAACTGGATTTTACTATCTGATATTTGAGTAAGCAAATACTACTGTGAAATTTTTTTTTCACAGTGCTCTAAGGATTTTAAGTCTACTGTGATTCTATTCTAATCAATGCTTGGAAAGTATCATTTTTCTAGATAATGGCTTAACAATTCAATTCCTAGTATAATCATAAAACTTTAACCATGCTTCTTGGCTTTTGTCATGCTTAGATGGAATGCCATACTCCTATCCCCTACTATCTTGTCAGTAACGTTAATTTTCCCAACTCATTCCCTCGGAGGTTGACTTGGATGGTATCTTATTTTCCCCTCACTGGACAAAATACCAAATACCCACAATTTAAAAAAGAAATGTTTATTTTTGGCTCATGTCTTCAGTCCATGATCAGCTGGTTCCAAGGCAGGAAACAGCATGGCCGAACAATATGGTGGAGGAAAACTGTTCAACCATGATGGACAAAGAGCAGAGAAAGAAGGGAGGAGCTGGGGAGAAAATACACCCCCAAACCAGCTCCTCAAACCAGGTCCCACCTCCTAGAAGCACACTGAGGTATGACCTCATCAGTGGATGGATCCACCAATGAATATAGCACCCCCATAGCCCAGTTACCTTCCAAACACATGAGGCATTGCAGATATTCTAGATCTGAGCCATAATGAGCAGGTTGTGTCTTACTAGTAAAGTATACTGCCTCTTTCCTCTTCCTCTATTTTTATAATTTTCCCTTTCTCTCATTCTACTAAATGCAAGACTGTTAACTCCTCCAATGCTATTAGCCTAGTATTACTGCATCATGCTCAGCCTTTATCTATTACTCTTTTGTAAGCAAATTGTCCACCAATTATGCTGATTTGTTTATTCAGTGTGGCTCCTGTAGAGGCCCTAACAGATATATGCCTCGCACCAAAACAACATGCTCATATATGCTGTCTTCTGTGACACTACTGCCCACAAGTAGGTATTGAGCATCTGAAATGTTCAAAGTATAAAATGCATATTGGAATCCACAGGTTTGGGATGAAAAGAAAGAATGTGTCTTGTCCACTGTCAAAATGGGTTTGAATCATGGTTTTGGAGACTGGAAAGTCCAATTGCATGCGTGAGTGAAGGTGAGTGCTCAGCTGGAGAGAGACGGGACCTAATGTCCCCTTTTACAATTAAAAGTTCTTATTCATTCACAAAGGCAGAATCCCATGATGTACTCATCTCCTAAAGATTCTACCTCCTAATGCTGTCACAATGGTGATTAAATTTTAACATGGGGTTTGGAGAGGACAGTCAAAACATAGCAGAACACAAATGACCTCAATAATTTTTAGACTGATCACATTTTTAAAAATCACAGTTTTAGATATATTGGAGTGTCACAAAAACATAATTTTATCTGTTCTTTTTTTAAACTTGTTTTTGTGATTCAGTTTAATTAAACTATACAGGGTTGCGGTGGGAGGATTTTTGTTTTTCCTACTTTTGATGTCAATACTCACATACAAGAAATATTTAAGTTTTCCAGGAGAAAGCACAAAGTGGACTCTCCTAGCTTAGTGGAGCTAGAAGTGAGCTTGAACCTTAACATTTTCCAAATGAAGAAACTGAGGCATGTTTGCAAGCATTTATGGGATTGCATGCTCATAACATCTTGAAAAGTCTTTAGATAGTTTTCCTTCTGCAAACCACACTGAAACACTTAGAAAAGTTTTGAAGTATATTAAACTTTTAAATTAGTATTAAAGTTCAACTGATGGGTCAATATTCGACTTCAGGGCATAGAGGGGCATTAAAGCCTGTCCACTCTTGCAGTTGATCTTTGTGAAAATCTAGAGCTTTATGGCATCAGAATCTGACAACCTTTTTATTGGTTATAGAATCAGCTAGGATTGTTAGTTTATAAACATGAAACCTTTCCCAGCAGTACTTATTTAATAGGGCTTAAATACATCAATTTGGTCCAAACACAGAGTTAGAACTACTCTGTCCCCTTTGGAAGCCAAAAAAGGGGCTTCCCTGACCTTCACTCCCAAAGGCACAGGAGCGAAAGACCAAGGGAAACTTCAAGCCTTGACCCTGGGCTCTAGCCATTCCTAGTGTATTTCCAGGGACATAAACACTGCGTCTGCTATAGGCCCTTGTTAGTATCCTCAGCGGACTGATGTAGCTGCCAGGCCACCTCCCACATTGCCAGAAGTCCTGTGGAGACAATGAAACCCAGAAATAAGAGATAAATAGGACAGGAACAAAATACCACCTCATGCAGGTTCCACGGGCCACCTCCCACCATTAAACAGCAAGGCAGGTTTGTATCCCTTCCTGACCTGCTCTCCAGGGAGCTCATGGAGAGGCTATAAGGTCAGGGAAAGCAAGGGGAAGAGGAAATCGCTGTTTATAAAGGGACACTTAACCCCTTGGAGTGCGCCTAGGCGCATACACGGACAGGGTACGCGCGCGAGGACACACACACACACACATACACGCGTGCGCGCGAGTACAAACATTAAAACACTTGAGAAGCCGGGCATGTGGATTTGGAGTCTGAGCTGAATTTTCTTACATTTTTAATTTGTGTGTTTGATTTATTTATTGGCTCATTTCCTAAGAAGTTATTTCTTTCTAGGCCCTGGGGGGCTCTTGATCATTCTAAACAAATTTAAGGGAAACCATAAGAAGAAGAAAAATCTGTACGGGAAGAAAGGGCTTCGCTCCAGGGCCAGCGACTGGCTGCAGGCGGTGGAAGTCAGAGCCCCTTCGCGGAATTCCGTCGCTGCAGACAAACGGGGGCGTGGCGGGCAGCGCGTTGCTGGGAACCGCTGTAAACTAAACTTCCGAGGGCTCGGGGGTGGGAACGAGGTTCCAGGCAAAGCGAGAAGTGGGGAACAATGTGGAAGCGGAGACAGCAGAGGAGGAGAAGACAGAGGTCATGGAAGGGGTCAAGGCTGCCAAGGCATGACCCGAACTGGCGAGGTCTGGGCGTCCCTAAAGGAGCGAGGGGCTCCCCAGCTCTCCAAGATCCGGCGGACCCTGCGTGCAGACCAGGAGCCGCAGCTGCAGCTCCGGGATCTGCGCGTCCGGGGCGAGGCGACCGGGAGGGAGGGGAAGAGTGGGGAAGGGGCGTCGCCCTGCCACCCCCGCCCTCTCCAGTGCCATTGGGCCGCGGCTGCAGCTCCCGCGCCACCTTTCCTCCATCGCACCCCGCCCGCGCGCTGGCCCGGCCCCTGCGCCCTGCGGGTCCGCGCCCCGCCGAGCTGGTCCCCGCGCTGGTCCGGCCCGGGCCGTTGACGTCACCGCCAAGTTTGCTGCCCTCGGCGGCCCACGTGTGGCAGCGCTGCCCAGGAGGCGGCGGGGGAGCCGGGGAGCTGCGCGGCGGGTGACAGGTCTCCAGCCCGGCGCCGCCACGCCGCTCACAGGTGGGGCCGGGGAACAGTTTGGGATCGCCCCAAGAGGGGTGGCGGCGACTCGGGGTGCGGCTTTCTGGGTCCCACTTGGACGGAAAACCAGGAGGGCGCCTCGTACAGCGGCCGAGAGGATCTGAGTCCGGACGGAGAGGGCGCACCGGGAGGGCACCGCCGCTCGCGGCTGCCTGGAGCGCACACAGCTGAGCCGCCCCGCAGCCGCGCGTCCCCGCCACCGGGACGACACGGCCATGCAGGGTCACTGAGACGGGATCGGCGACGAGCCGACGCTCGGGCCCGGGGCTGAGCAGCCCAGCTTTGCACCGCCACCGAGAGTCCCAGTCCGGTGACTCTTGGGGAACTGGGGCACAGGGGGCTGCCCGCAGGCTGAGGTCTTGAGCGACTCCAAGACCTAAGACGATGGTTTCTTAAGCACGGCACCGCGTCCCCTTTCTCGACCCTTGACTGCAGGCTGGGATTCGGCACAGGGGTCCCGGGACTCCGTCCCCTGGAGGAGTCCCAGCCGCCACCTCCCGGGGAAGCTTGCACCGTTGCAGGGGCGCACGGGCCATGTGGCCACCGTCCGGCGCGCTGGTCCGCCCAGAGGACATGGTGGCACCTGGCGGAGTCCTGGCCTAGCATGGCCCGAGCTCGGACGGACGTCGCCTCCGGCTAGGATGGCCCCTCCGGACCCGGCTGGTGCGCACCCCACCTCGGCCGAGCCGCTGTCCCGCAGCATCTTCCGGAAGTTCCTGCTGATGCTCTGCTCGCTGCTCACGTCCCTGTACGTCTTCTACTGCCTGGCCGAGCGCTGTCAGACCCTGTCCGGCCCCGCCGTGGTCGTGGGGCTGTCGGGTGGCGGCGAGGAGGCGGGGACCCCGAGTCGCGGCGTCCTGGCCGGTGGCCCGAGCGAGCTGGCCGAGTGGCCCGCGGCGGCGCGGAGAAAGCGGCTTCTGCAGTCGCAGCAGTGGAGGAGGCACCGGCCACCCACCCCGAGCAACGACGGTGACCAGGCGGCCTGGGAAGAGGACACCCTGGGCCTGGCCGCGGGACTTGGCGGCTCCGGGGCTGGCAGCAGCGTGGCCGAGGCCCCGCCGGGGACCCTGGCCCTGCTCCTGGACGAAGGCAGCAAGCAGCTGCCGCAGGCCATCATCATCGGCGTGAAGAAGGGCGGCACGCGGGCGCTGCTGGAGTTCCTGCGCGTGCACCCCGACGTGCGCGCCGTGGGCGCGGAGCCCCACTTCTTCGACCGCAGCTACGACAAGGGCCTCGCCTGGTACCGGTGAGCGGGTGCGGGTCTGGGTGGGGGCAGCCACATCCTGGAGTGCAGGGCAAGGGGACCCTTGGCAGAGACCTTGGTGATGACCCTTAGTCCCCTCCCTCAAAGGCCAAGCGTCATCAGCAACTTGGTCCCTAACTTGAGAAGTTTTTGTTTCCAACTGTGCCTTCTCTTGGGGGGAAGAGGTCATGCTTAGGAACGCGGAGTGGGAGGGAATTTTTTGTTTTAATGATTTTAGTCCTTGGGATTTTCTTTCTCAGCAACAACCAGCCTCATCCCTTTTTCTTACCCTGGGAAGGTACTCAGTATTCAGCTAAAAGTGGAGAAGGGTCACATCTCCTAAATTAGAACCCATTTATCATGACCAGGTTACCTCTCCTCAGGAAACCTGTTTTTCTTTCTTCTTTATCTTTTAGGCGATTCCCTGGCTAACACAGTCTTTGCCATCAGGTATTTATTTACCTTGAAGCTTTGCCAAATAGTTGTCCTAGGTGGTACTGTAGAGACTGAGAAAAGTGGCAAGCCAGAACCTGGGGAGTTTGAATAATTTTCCAACAAACAGACACCACACTTTAAAGAATGCTTTTTGGTAAGAAGTTGTGACTGGGTGAAGGAATGGATTTGGTAAAGTGCTTTTGATACTTGCAAGGAGAAAATTTTATGTCTGCACTGACCAACTTTTTAAAAGATCTTTGTGCAATCTTCTTTACAAAAGAAGGTAGCTCATTTTTTTTTTTAAGAGAAAAATGAAGAGGGAGAAAATCCACAGTTCAGGAATTGAGACTCATTTAGATGTTAATCTTAAACTTGTCAGTCTCAAAGGCAGGACACATTTAGTAATGGAATGGGCTACACTCTAATAAATTCTGTTGTTTGCTGTTTGCCATAAAATACTGACTTTTTCTTTCTTCCAAGTGCAGTGGAAAATCATGTGAGTGTAACTTTCCATTTTATAGTTTATCATGTTTTTCAAATATTAATTCTATTATTTGCAGTGAAACAATATCATAAAAGTTACAACATAATTGAAATAGACCACAAAAACTGAATAAATCAACCATTTATTTCTGAAACAGAGATAGAACGTAATTCGACAAGTTTATTTACTTGAGAGGTCAAGCATGACCATTGGTTGATTTTGGGACCCAAATTTATAGTAATTCAACTCAGAAGGAAAAGTTTGGCCCTAAAAACCTAATTCAAACATTAAACACTTTAAAAACAATAATTCACCATTGGTTGGAAAGAAAAACAAACAACCTTCCCTTAATATAAAATATGTAACATTTAAAATCATCAGCCACTTAAAATATCCCCATGTGTTTCTGTCATGTATGTTATGTCTTCTGGGAAGTTCTTATAAAAATGACCTGTTGAATCTGGAAACAACAGGTCCTTCTTTTTAGCACAAAGGGAGTTCTGTTTTTTTCATCAAGGACACAAGAAAGAAGTGATTAAGGACCCCTAAAACTCTTATCTATAGGGGCTTGCATTGAATTCGGCCTCCATACAGTGCTAGAAGGGAACACATTTCAAGCTGTCTGTCTGAATTATCTAAGGCAACCCTGGGCTCTGAGGTGCTATTAAATGTGGTGAAATATTTAGTACTAAAATCTTTTATTTCTGTTTTGCCATATAAACTTTATTTTCACAAAGTAAGATTGTTTCTTCTTATTTCTGCAGTAAGTATTTGAGGGCATAATATCTGCGGACCTGGATCTTATTTTCTCTGGAACTTTCTGAACTCATGCAAGAACAGAATAGGTTAATAGGTTTCAAGGTAACTAGAAACACAAGGAGAGAGAGAGAGACAGAGAGGGAGAGAGAGACAGACAGACAGACAGAGAGACAGAGAGACAGAGACAGACAGAGACAGAGACAGCCAGACGGGGGGGGGGAGGGAGAGAGAGAGAAGAGAGAGAGAGAGAGAGAGAGAGAGAGAGAGAGAGAGAGAGAGAGAGAGAGAGAAAGAGAACTATAAACTTTTAGAGACCACTCTCTGTTTTGGAAGCTGGATGCATGCTGTAAAGTAAATCTCTCTCTGGATTGTTTACTCCGGCAGAGGAGTTTCTATAAAACAATTTATGGTGGTTACAAAAATAACTGCACAGTAGACTTCATGGTTTGGTGAATTTAATTTTCTAAGTGTTGGAGCAATATCTTTGTTTTACCATTTGCAGTGTGTTTTTTTAATTAAATGCATAAATTTAAGCTTAACTCAATTACGTAGAAAACTTTTTATTAAAAAAATCCAACCTATGGAGCCTGGGTTATGTGATCATTTAATGAAATTTCCCCACAGTTCTCTTTTATCTTGGCTCTGAACTTGGGAGTTTGATGTTTGTTAGAGAGACTGAAGATTTCAATATATGTGTATTTCAAAGCCCACACAGAATACCTCTTTCGTATTGAGTGCATATTAGATACTTGTATTAGCTAAAGTCCTAGAACAGAAGATTCTTTTTGGCTTTCCTCCATGGCCTAAAAATTGCAATATAGGATTTCTGCCATAAGCTTAAGACCACACACACACACACACACACACACACACACAAAGACACACCAAAAAAACCCAGTGTTTGTACCTCAAAGTGAATTATGGAAGAAAAAAATCTGTTAAGTATTTTTAGGTGCTCTTTAATGTAGGAAAATCCTATGTCTAGCCTTGTGGAGTTTTGCTTTTTTCTTTTCTTTTTTTTTTTCCTCCTTTTTTTTTCTTAATAGACACTCTTTTTTGCTTTAATAGTTTTCTGTGCCAGTGCCCCCTACTGTCTTAACAAAGGGAGAAATCTGTTGCTGTTAGTAGTTTGAAGAAAATCTCTTAGAGTGTGTCTGACAGAAACGTCTGTTGCTAAGATATTCCAATACATTGCCCCAGCTAACATGACATAAAATTTTGCACAAACTAAATCTCAAGTGTAAAATAATAAACCTTCGTTTAAATAAATTTGGAAAAACGATACAATGAAGTTGGCATTCAAAATCTCTAAAATTTTCTTGTTGATTTAAAATGTTTTAATATCTTTAACAAACCTCCTGGCCAATTTTTATATGTGGAGATTTGTTCATAATTCTGGACCTTTCAGTGGAGTTCACTGGATAGGCAACTGCACCCTGATGGGGTTTAGAAACATTCCGCATTACTTAATTTAGCAGACAGGGTATCAGGACAACAAATGTTTGCAGCTCTTGTGTTGTGAGAGAACAATCCTTTGCAGTGAATCGTCTCTAGTTCCATTGTATGTAAGCTGAGTTCATAAAGGAAAATGGAAAATTGTTTCTCCAGCTTCAAATTGTTGGAATCTTCATTGGCAGTCCAGACTAATTGAATTTAGTTCAAAGTTTAACACGAAGTCCCTTTCTCTATGACAAAAGACATCTCTATTTCTAAGGTATAGTATTTGAATAAAAATATTAAGATAAATAAAAGGAATATATATATATATATATATATATATATATATATATATATGCAGTCAATTGTCCCTTGATATCTATGAGGGACTGATCCACAGGACCTGTTTAGATCAAATTACTCAGACACACAAATCTCTTCTATAAAATGGTATAATATACTTTCCAGGAGCATATGTTTCGGTTATATGTGAATATCATGCTATTTTATAATCCTAACACTCTGGGAGGCTGAGGCAGAGGGATTTCAAATTTGAACCCAGCCTGACCAATTTATCAATTTCGTGAGATCTTGTCCCAAAATAAAAAGGCTGGGGATATAGATCGGTGTGAAGATTCTGGGTTATATCTATCAATGTAAATGCAATATAAATAATTGTACTATATAGTTTAGGGAATATTTATATATAGAAACACACATATATAAGTGGTTTCTGTACTTCAGTTTTGTATTTTGATACAAAATAGGAAGCACTCCAGTCTCTTACGTTTGCATGTCTATTTCCTACATCTTCATTCCTTTCTTTAATCAATTTGGACAGTTTCAGCAGAAAAGAGTGTTACTAGAATCACTTTATAATATACAGAAAGATCAAAGTTACAGAGCTTAGAGTTTTGGAGTTAGTACTATCCTGACCATCAAAATTTGATATTTTTTAATCTTTAATGATTATGGCCTTGTTTTTCTGGGTCATGCAAAGGCAGACTGAACAGTGGTGCTTTCGGTTCTTGGGAGGAGGAATCTGCGTTCCAGAGCAGCTGGGAGCAGCTGCAGGGTACCTCCATGAGCAGAGCAGTTTCCCAGCCTCCTGCGCTGGGAGCTCCTTCTGCGTGATGGGTTTGAAATGAAATCTGAGCCAAGGGAACTGCAGAGCCTGGCCACCCATGCAAGGTCACAAAGACTCAAGTCCAAAGGCTCTATCCTTACAGCCAGCGAGCAACATTGGAAGCCATGAGGCCTGAGGACAGAGTGGGCAGAAGTTGCTTTAGGGCTTGAATCTACAATCCTTGTCTATGGAGAAGGAGGGCGCACTGCTTTTCATGTGTATAGTCCCCAGGAGCTGAAAGACTGGAAACTTCTCACCTAGTGAGAAGTTAAGGAGCCAAAGTGCTGTCATTTTGTTTGCTGAATGTCTGAACTCTGGACTTATTCCCAACAGATGGCACCAGCAATGCAAGTCAGTTGGCCTAGTGCCTCTCCCTGTGTGTGTGTGTGAGCCCTGACACACATGCACGTGTGTGTAAGAGGAGATGACCAGTAGGTAGGGTGCAACGTGAGGTTCCAGTGACAAGAGGAAAGTAGTTAAGGAGCTGGGAAACTTCTGAGCCAATTCAGACACGATGGCTATGGGACAGGCTTTAAGCACCAGTTTGGGTGACTCTTGGAATAGATTGTGAGACCAACGTGCTGATATATGAAAATGCACAGCAGTCCACGCACAGCAGTCCACTGAGACGCTGTGATCTGTCTGCTCCTTACAACAAAACACTGGACAAAGTATTTGCCTCACATAGCATAAATCTCTTGATTGGCTCAGAAAGAATAAGTGCCAAATTTGTATTTCTGAACTGCAATTACTGACAACAGA